ACCACCACCGAAATCAGCATGACGATAGGCACGGCGCGAAAGGCGATCAGATCGAGCTGGTTGACCAGCGCCGCAAAGCGGAACGGCGCGCGAAAGGTGAGCGTGGCTCCGGCGGCGGCCATAACGCGTCCAAGGACGGCGTGGATGGTGACCACGTCGCCAAGCGCATTGGCGGTCATGTGACCCAGCCCGTCGAACGGACGCAGCAGCCATGGCAGCCTGGTCTTGACCACGGGCGCGTGCGGTTCGATGGCATTGACGTGGCCAAGAAGCGCTGCCTGCGCCTCGGTAGCACCTGTGATCGCGGTTTGAACGCCCTGCCCCATCTCATCACGGCGACGGGCCAGCAGGAAGGCACCGACCGTATCAAGCGCGGTCACCCCGCCCAGATCGAACTCGAGACGGGACGGCACGGGCTGCGCCGCAAAACCTGATTCGATCTGCGACTGGATCTGCCGGGTCCATTGCGTGGTCCACGCACCCGACAGGCGCGCAACGAGAACACCGTCTGCGCCGGACATCTCGATCTGAGGCTCATCGAGCTGGGTCATGAAGTCTGCGCTTGTACTCCCGTGCAGGGCAGCCTCATGGACCGGGCGCCCCCAGGTTCTCTTAACACGCAGAAACCTGCTTGTCCTGAGCCAGCCGCAGGCTCGTGTGCTCAAGGCCCGCGTTGGGCAGCGGGTGATGCATTTGTGCAAGAGTGCCCGACCGATGGGCGCGGCGCCGGCGAACTGGCAGGTCGGGGCCATGATGGCGGAGAGGAAGGGCCTGCCCTTGGCCTTTTCCGCCAATGGCTTGGCGCGTCTAACCACCCCTTGTCCCCCTATTGAAATCAAAGCGCTTTTTTGGGGTATGGCTAACCCGGCTGTGCGCGTGTCGCCATGAGCGCCGCCACAGTTCCAGTTTCTGAAAGCCTGCTGCGCACGCTTCAAAAGCCGATGCGCAACCCCGAGTTGGTGCAAGGCTATCTCTCCGGCGACATCGCCAGCCGACCTGCACGGGCACAGCCCGCACGGCCCGTTGCGCGATACGGAAGCCGGTTCGCCCGCCCCCGCCCTCAACGGTCGCCCGACCGCGAGCGCTCCATTCGCAGGCGTCGGACATTGGCAGCGACCTGGCCCATGCCCCCCAGCATGGCCAGTATGCTGACGACCAGCCAAATGGCTTATGCCCGAATTGTCTATGACGAGGTTAAGCGTTCCGGGGATTGTCGGCTGACGCTCGATGAGATCGCCGCTCGGGGCGGCATGTGCCGCAAGACAGCAAAGCGCGCCCAGTGGCGGTTGGCGGAACTGGGCTGGGTGAAGGTGGTGCAGCGGCCAGTGAAGGGCCGCAAGAACCTATCGAACATCGTTGAGGTGGTGGCGAAAGAATGGGTGGCCTGGATCAAGATGGGGCCGAAGCCGACGCATCGCACTGGGGGACATTTGCGTCCCACCACGGAAAACCAGTCATATTCTATCTCTAGCGCTGTGCCGCAGGAGAGCTTGCAAAGGGCTCGGGAAAGGAAGCGATGGCCACGCTTGGGCGCAACCCAGCTATCGGGAGGTGGCCATGCTGCATAAGCCGCACCATGGTGCCCTGTCCCAGCGTTTCCAGGGCGAGGATGGGAAGGAGTATGTCTCCATCCTGACGCGCAAGCACCGCGCCTTTGCTGCCGCATGCTTGGAACTGATGACCGAAGCTGATGGCCGGGAGCGCCGATGGATGCTCCAGCACTCTGCGGTCACGGTGCCAGTTGAACTGCTGGGCAAGGCGAGAGCGAGGCTGGAACAATCAGGCGAAAGCACCGATGGATGCGACGATCCAGTGCGGCGCGGATCGGTGCTGTCATGATGCAGGGGGAGGGTCAAACTTTGGAGAGGGCCCCTACCTCCACCGGCGCATCCCCGTCACGCGCGGATTTTTTTTGCCGATGGCCTGAGATTTCGGGTTTGGCAAAAAATAATGCGGCGGAACAACAGGTTATGCCGCTCCGGGGTATGTGGCCAATAGTGGAGTGCGGAGAAAACACAAGCATTTCCAATGGGTTATTGGCGTCCTTGCCGATGTTGCCCGGAGCGCGCCAGATCGCAGCCTCCAAACTTGCTGGAAGTGGGAATTATTTTTGCCAGCACAATCCGAGCGAGGTGCGACATGGGTAACCGAAAGCGGAGCCGTGCGGAAACCGGCCCGGCAAAGGTTGAGCGGCGAAAGAATTTCGAGGCGGCGGCGATACGGTTGCGGATGAAAATGAACCTCGATCTGAAAATTCGGGAAAACAGGATCGGGCGCAACGGCCCGCGTTGACAGACTCACTATGGCCGGTTCAGTGTCGAACCACACTGATCTGGTCAGTGCCTACCCCGCCAGCGGCGGGAGTACCCCGTAGAGCGCCGCAGTTGGAATGCTCCGGGAGTAAAGCTCAAGCATGAAGCCTTGAAGCCCAATGAGCAGCCGCTCTCCATATGGACAGCGGCCAACTTTGGGGTAATCCAATGAATATGACCGAACTGCGCGAAAAGCGCAGCCAGATCGTCGCCAAGGCGCGCAAGGCGCTTTCTGAAATCCAAGGCAACACCGATGAGAAGCGAGCCGCCGAACTGGAGAAGCGGCATGACGCCCTCATGTCGGAATTCGATGATCTCGATGCGCAAATTCGCCGTCACGAACGCACCGGCATGGCTGAGCGCGTCGAGGGCAGCTATCGCTCCGGATTTCTCGACCGCGACGACGATGAGCGGCGCGCCCGCTTGCGACCAAACGCTGGCGATGGTGAGGGCGGCGGTGTCGACAATGGCTTTTCAGATGTAGAGGCCGCTGACGCCGACACGGTTCCCGCTCTGCGCAGCGGCCAGTCTTTTGGCAAATATCTCCGCGAAAAGCGTGGGCTTGACTATGACGAAGAAAAGGACCTTCGCGGCCTGACTACTGGCGGCTATCTCCGCTCGATGTTTCTTGGTGCCAAAACAGATGTTGAGCGCAGAGCGCTGGCCGAAGGCAGTGACAGCGCTGGCGGTTACACGGTGCCTGAGGCTCTTTCGGCACAATGGATCGACCGGATGCGTGCCGCGTCATCGGTATTCCGGGCGGGTGCACTGACCGTTCCGCTCGAATCCAACGTGAACCACATCGCCAAGGTCGCAACCGATCCAGTGCCAACTTGGCGCTTGGAAAACAGCACCGTCAGCGAAACTGAACCGACATTTACTCGGGTTACATTTACCCCGAAAAGCCTTGCAGTCATGATCACGGTGAGCCGCGAGCTTCTGCAAGATAGTCTCAATATCGGTTTGATACTGCCGGATATTCTTGCGTCGGCAATGGCGCAGGAAATTGACCGCGTGGCGCTGTTCGGTTCGGGCACTGGCGCAGAACCGCGTGGCGTAGCGAACTTTGCTGGCCTGACATCGAACGCTTTTGCGGGTGGCCCGCTGACCAGCTATGCGCCACTGATCAAAGCCCGGACGGCGCTGCGCACAGTTAACAGCGACGTGACGGCCTACATCATGTCGCCACGCGACGATGGGCAGCTTGCCGAACTGGTCGATACCACCGGCCAGCCGATCAACATGCCTCCTGCAATTGCCAGGACGCCTATGCTTGTTACCAGCAAGGTTCCCACCAATTTGGGTGCCGAAGAAGATGAATCGATCATCCTTGCAGGGGAGTGGTCGCGTCTGATGATAGGCATCCGGTCTGAGCTCCAGATCGAGGTGCTGCGCGAGGCGTTCGCCACCAAACACCAGTATGCGTTTGTGGCCCACCTCAGGGCAGACATCGCAGCCGAACATGAGGCGGCGTTTACCAAGCTCTCGGGCCTCACCCTTCCGGCCTAATCCACCATTCAAAAGCTGCCCGCCAGATTGTGCGGGCAGCTTCAAAAGCACGAAGGAAAGATCATGAGCGAAATTGAAAAAATCGGTGATGACATAGAAGATGGCATGGCCAAGTATACCGCCGCTATGGGCAATGCTGCACGGGTCAGCGCTGAGGCCGTCACCCGGGCCCAGATGGACGCTGCCAGCAAATTTCCCGTCACGGTGAGGACGGACCGCCAACAGGCGCAATGGATTTCCGCCCGCATCGACCGTCGCAAGCGTCGGCTACAGATCGTGCCAGAGGATTTGCCATCGTTCGAGGCGGCAAATGGTGGCGCATACGCGGCTCTGCGAGCGCTCACAAACGGCGACTGGACGATAGATCTTGTGCGGAAGGTTCTGGCCTTCGCCTCCCTGCCAGCGGACGAACGCAAGAACCTGGCCAAGCTCACCAAATTTGCCGGAGTTATGGGGGTGTCCAGCTTGGCGATCACCGTACCCGTTTGGCTCGATGATACTCTGTCCATGAAGCCGCCCGCCCCCCTTGCCGGGCTCGCGGCGCTCATCCTGACAGCAGCCCTGTTTGGCATCCCGGATGCTGAGGCCGTCTGGTCGGATGAGGCCGATGGTTAAACGCACCAAGGGATTCGACAGGTTGGCTGCTCGTTTCAGAGCGCTTCCCGCTGTCGTTCGAAAAGACACCGAAGCTGCCGCCGTCCGCGCCGCAAATCGCATGGCCGATGATATGCGGCGGCTCGTGCCAGTCGATGAGGGTGACCTCAAAGCTAGCATCACCGTCACCCCACCGGGTGGCTCGACGCCATCTTATAGCGTTGGCGGAGGGCAAACAGTCCCACCCGGTGCAGCGGCGGTGACGGCTGGCGATGAGACCGCGCGCCATGCCCATTTCGTTGAATTCGGAACACGGAGCGCGCCCGCCCAGCCGTTCTTCCTCCCGGCTGTTCGCAGCAACCGAAGGCCTGCCGCGCGGGCTATTGCCAGCGCCGGGAAGCGCGCGATAAAGAAGGTTATGAAATAGATGGCAACCGAACGCGACCGCCTGTTGGTGCTCGTTGAAGCGCGAGTTAACAGCCTCGAAAAGGGTATGCAGCGGGCCACGAAGTCGACCGAATGAGCCCGCGCCCAGATACAAAAGCAAACGTCCGGCCTTGAACGGAATATCACCGGGATAGCCGCCAGGATCGGCGCAATTGCAGGGCGCATGTTCGGCCCGTTGTTGGCCGGTGGTGCTGTTGTGGCGCTGCGCAACGCGGCACGTGGCATGGCAGAGGTGGGCGACCAGGCGCGGATAGCCGGTATATCTGTCGAGCGGTTTTCCGAACTGAAATATGTCGCAGAGCAAAACCGCATTGGTGTTGATGCGCTCACAGACGGCATCAAAGAGTTAAACCTTCGCGCCGATGAATTCATAACCACAGGCGGCGGTTCAGCAGCCGAGGCGTTCGCGCGGCTGGGCTATGATTCCGACACGCTCGCCAAAAAGCTGCAAGACCCGGTTTCGCTGTTCTACGAAATCATCGGCCAGCTTGGCGACCTCGACAAAGCTGCGCAAATCCGCATTGCCGATGAGATATTCGGCGGCACGGGTGGCGAGCGGTTCGTGCAGCTTATCGAGCAGGGCGAGCAGGGATTGCGCGACACCGCCCAGGCGGCGCGCGATGCTGGCGTTGTTCTCAATGACGATCTGGTG